GTCGTTTGTCAAATTGAATGATTTTGTCAATGCTTTACTTTTTGGAAAAAAGAAATATAAAATCCCTACCGATTTACACGTTCACCGACTTGTACTCGATATTGAAAAATACGTCAATGTACCTAACACTATTCAAACGGGAGGATTGCTTTTATCCAACTATATTATCCAGAATGATTTGGATAATATTTTAAAATACTTGGAAAAAGCCAACGCCTGTCACTATGACGGCTTAAAGAAAAATCCTGTCGAATTGAAATTAAAATCATATATTATAAAAGATTTTTTCAATCAACTTTCCTTCATCTGTAAAGGAAATTTAGAACAGGGTGTGACGGCTAATTCTTTTCTACCAAAAAATAGAATTGCTTCCGACGAAAATAAGAAAACATTAGATCAATTGTTGCAAAAGGACTTACCCAAACTCTCGTTACAAACAGAAGAGTTAATCCTATCGAATCAAACCTTTCAAAACATGTTGAAATTGTACGACATTAAGTGCAAATCAGTGGGTTCAATTTTAGACCCTTTTTCTTTGGTTTTGACCCCACAGTATTTATTTGTTGATTCCGTGCATTGGGAATCGGTTGAATCTCTTAAACATTTCTTGAAATATTATCCCGACAATCCACTATCCCACTCTGTGAAAGATTTGCTTCTAGAGGCTATATCTTCCCTTATAGATGTGGATGAAAATAAACTACCAGAGGTAATTCATGATGATCAATTGCGTATTTTTCTTCAAAATGTGAATGTAGTTCACCAACGAATAGAAAAGGTAGATGCCGTTAGGAAACCACCTAAATTGGTGGATGTATTTCAACGATTGTTGGCATTGGTGAAATTGGATAAATTGTGGGTGTCTGAAACGTTGTCAACTAAAATTGAAAAAGAATGTTTTTTTTGTAATGTGTATATAAAAAATGTAGAATTGGAAAATGAAATTAAGATATTAAAACTCAAATTAAAACAACAGGGTGAACGGAACATGTTAATCTAAAATGAAAACAATATGACATTTAATGACAGAAAAATTATTTTTTTTTGTTGTTTATTAATCAAAATCTAACAATATTTATTCAATGTATGACAATAATTAATCAAAATCTAACAATATTTATTCAATGTATGACAATAATTATTCAAAGCCTTACAATATTTATTCAAAGTCGAACAATATTTTTGATTCTTACATTAGATTACTACCAATAATCATTTCACATAAATGTTGTAAAGCATTCCTTGTGTCACAAAACAATTCATTACATATTGTAACAAAGTCCATCTATATTAATATTCTTGTATCAATATATTACGGATTCGTATCAATTTCTGTTGCTCTAGTTTGTAACGTTTCTTCAACCATTTATTCTGTTGCATTTCCCACTGGAGGTGGTATAATTTTTTAACAAACTGCAATAACCAAGTCTTTTTGAAAGGATTATTCATGATATTTCTCAAAGTATGCTCATCAATTGTTTCTACCAGAAAATTTCTAATCCGAATCCGACATTTTCGTTGATAATAAGCAATTTCCTCTGAATTCATAGTAATTTCCTCTGAATTCATAGTAATTTCCTCTGAATTCATAGTAATTTCCTCTGAATTCATTGTAAAGGGAATAACTAATCCAGGTGCTTCATAAAGTATATATAACTCTCTCGGTCTTTTCCTCTCTCTCTTATTGGTTGAAAAAAACTCTCTAAAAAAAAAATTAAAGCGCGGTTTCCGGAAATCAAAGATCCAAAAGTTTTAATAATTTTACTCAGACAATTTTCAAGAGAATTTTATATTTTGAAAATATCAATGATTTAAAAAAAATAATTTTTTGATAACGTCTTTAATTCAAGAAATTTTAAGATAATTTTATACTTTAAGTATATTAATAAATTAAAAAAAATAATTTTTTGATAACGTCTTTAATTCAAGAAATTTTAAGATAATTTTATACTTTAAGTATATTAATAAATTAAAAAAAAATAATTTTTTGATAACGTCTTTAATTCAAGAAATTTTAAGATAATTTAAAAAAAAAAATATTTTATAGATTCAAGTTTTTTGATAACGTCTTTAATTCAAAAAATGTTCAGGAGAATTTTATATTTAGAAAATATTAAAAAACTTGAATTTATAAAAAATTTATTTTTTTGATAACATTTAGAGAAATTTTTCGGGATTTTGAGTTGGGCTCACAATTAGCTCTGACGATTTCTTTTGTAAAACATCTTATATATCATATTTATCATTAAAATCTTCTTGTTTTACTTTGGAGAAAATTACAATAATTTTGATTATTACTCAAAACATTGAGATTTCGAAGATTATCTGGTAAATCTCCTGTTTGTAAATTGGGTTTGTATGAAGCTTTAGGAATACTATGAGTCTTAAAACTAAAATAGGCATTGTGTGCCCTTATGTTACCCATGAGTACGAGCCATGCATTATTTTTAACTTCCGTGACAGTTACAAAACCAATACCTTCTTTGTACATTAAATTAGAATAGAGAGTGAGAGGAGCACTTGTGACCACAGATTGGTTGGGAACGGGTAAATATGTTTTGTCAAACAGACAATTAAACAGTAAAAAACTAAAAAATGGTGAAAAATCGTTTGCTAAATTTTTAGGAGATTCAGGGTTATCAATCGGGATTATTTCTAAATTGGTGAAAACTTTAAAGTAGTTTTCATTTCGAATCCAATGGTGTAAAGTACTTAATCTGTCTTGAAGATGCGTTCGTAGTTCGTTATAGGCAATACCTTGTTTTTGACTAATGTCTGTTTGAGTAACAATGTCAATTACATTTAAATTTCGTATAAGTTCGTAATGGTAACGCGCCTCTGCCCCGTCCAGTTTCAGTTGCTTTAAATTGGATATGTAATGATACATTCTGGGGTTGAGTTTGTAAATGTTATTTTCATTCACACCCCCCGAATATTCAGGTTGAAGTGTGTGATCTAGGAAATTTTTTTCGGGAAAAACAACAGTATTGGGTGGAAAAGAGAAATTGTCATCAGGAGTGAGGAAAGGACCCCCCAAATCTGTATAATTTTCGTTTTCTTCTCTAAAAATGGCTTGTTTCAAACCAAACACATGTTTTAAATGCCACGGACAGATAATATTTCGAAAAGAATAAGAATTGTTGACATCATGGGTGCATTTGACAGAACCGCAAGCAAAAATACACTGAGATATATTTACCATCTTCTTATTTATTAAAAATATTTGTAAACAGAAACAACATTTAATATATACAATTCAGAAATAATACATAAATGTTAAAAAAAAAACTATTTACACTAATCAACGTACACTGTACTTAATTAGAACGTACTTAATTAGAACTTGTAGATTTGAAACAATATTACATTTAGAATATTAAATCAGTTAGAAAATTTAATTAGAACTTGTAGATTTGAAACAATATTACATTAGAATATTAAATCAGTTAGAAAATTTAATTAGAACTTGTAAATTTGAAATAATATTGGAATTAAAACTATTAAATCAGTTAGAAAATCTGGAATAATAAAAATTTTCAAAAACATTTCAAATACTTTAAAAAGATTGTTACACATTTTTCATATACGTCATCCAAGTTTTACATTGGCATCGACACGAACGTATAGTACCACATTTTCTACAACCAAACACTTTTTCATGTAAAGGAGAAAGTTTAGCGCACCTGAGTTCGCAACAATATCCATCCAGAAATTTCAAACGCTCCTGAAAGGTTTGACAACGGCATTCACAATTACCAGTTGTTTCACATTTTTTACAAGCCAATCCATCAACAGAATCCATGATTTCAAAACATTTCTTCCTACAACAATAGTCTATCACATCATAATCTTTCATTTTTTGTTCATTAAAATTGCAGTTACAGTTACAATAACCATACTTTTTACAACGGGTGCAAGCTATTCCATCAGTTAAAGGGAAGGGAATTTCCATGCATTGATATTGACAACAAAAGAGTACTTTAGATGGACAATGCTCCATTTTTACGCAACAAGCTTATCAAAATATGAAGAACCTCAATATATTTCTAAATATATATAGATTCCAAAGTTTAAATATATTCTTTCTTAAAAAAATAAAAAAAACTCTGAAAAAAAAATTTTTTTTGGTTAATTTTTTTCATAAAATCTGAAAAAAAAAAAATATTTTGTCAATTTTTCATAAAATCTGCGCGTTAAAATGTTAACTTTCAATATTCACAAAATACACTTCCAGATTTTTCTGTGGGTGGTGAGAATCTACAAAATGTTTCAAATGCCCAGGTGCATTTTTTGGTTGCACTTTTCGTGCTGCCAAACACTGTAAAGAACACACCAAGAGTTCAGTAGTAGAGTTGTTCGTCTTTTTCTGAATAGGAATTTCCTCAGCCAAATTGATGTAATCTGGATGAGCACCCAATTGCAATAAATATTTTTTATCCTCCTCGCAACGTGCCATATGTAAAGCCGTATTGCCAAAAATATTCCGCAAATCTATAATCGATGGATCTAACGAATCAAAATAATGACATTTATTTGGTAAATTATTCATATTTGCAATAATATGCCACAGTGTGTTTTGAACTGTATCTCTCACCCAAGTGGAAATTTGCCTTAACTGAAAGGGCATCAAATAAGATAAATATTCTACAAAATGGTATAAATTACCTACTACGTAGGGTTTTTTATCCCCATAATGCAAAAAAATGTCTGGAAAAAAGTAATATAATAAAGTCATGGGATTTTGCACACCGCGTGCTAAGGTAGTCGAATTAAAATAATATTTGCGATACAAATGTCCAGTATAATCCAAAATATTTAATATTCCATTGGTTCGACACTTATGAATGGGCAATTTCCCCTTAATATTTGGGACAAATTGAGTGGAAGGATCTAAAAAGAGAATTATTGCTACCAATTCTTGCTTGTTCATTTTAGCTGCATAGTGCAAAAGCGTATTACCCTTTCTATCTCGTATCTCACGCAATAGTTTCTGTATTTGTCTTCCATTCGAGAGCAAAAACCAATTCAATTCCACATGTTCGAAAATGGTCGAATCCCACGTCTGGGGTTTGTAATTGTGAAAGAGAAAATTGTAGAGCTTTTGACTTTTACGAATGACATAAGTCCTCAATTTTGAATCGTTGCTGCATGGAAACTCTCGTAAAGGATAATACGTAAGAGGAGGAAAACTTAAATCATCGATTCTGTCTGGATCTATACCTGGTGAACTAAGTAAAAAATTAACCACATTCTCTTTTGCAAATAGACAGGCATAATGAAGAGCTGTTTTCCCTGTATCTGGATCGGCTTTGTTAATATTGACAAAATATTCCAATCGACCCTCTCTTTCTATTCTATATGTCAATATGTGCGTGATAATAGGGTGAACATTGAAATTGCGATGCATAAATTGACACAAGTGTAAAATAAATAGTGCAAAATTGAATCGTTTTTGAACAATAGCCGCTATCTCTGGAGTTGGTGATAAAAAAATGGCATGATCTTCTAACGTAAAATGATGACAAGGTATGATTAAGCAGGAACAGAGTGGCATATTTCGAGCAGAAACAATATGAACCCTCTTTACGGTGATCTGCAAAGAATTTTTGATTTGACATTAGAAAATAATACTTCAAGTTTGTCATTATAACGAAACAGGTTTGTTATCATTAAGTAATTTTAGAGTTTTCATTATTAGAGTTTTTATCATTAAGCTATAATGCTTTAATGTCATTATAACGAAACAGGTTTGTTATTTATTAAGTAATTTTAGAGTTTTCATTATTCGAGTTTTTTTATCATTAAGCTATAATTCTTCAGGTCTCATATACATGCCGTCATAATGCAACAATTCCCTCGTATGATTGTGAATTACATCATGTGCATTAATATCAATGAATTTGTGGTTATGTTTTATAACCTTTCTCAAAAGTTGTTCATTCAATAATAAACCATTTAAATAACTTTCTTCTGTTATATATTTTTTCATGGTTTCAGTTATTCGTTGAATCCATATATTAACTTTTTCTTCAGTTTCTCGACCTATTTTTAATATTTCTTCAACTGATCTATTATCTTGGTTCAATAATTGTCGCATATAATTTAAAGTGAATGTGGATACAGTTTCTTCAAAAGATTTTTCAAACTTTTCTTTTAATATATTAAATCCTAAATCTTGCATCATGCAATCAAAATTTCTACAGGTAGCATCTGTGAGAACTGGAAATTCAGTTTCATTCAAGAGGACTTTTTCTCTCACCTTTTCTATAATTTCTATTATATTAAATTTAAAAGTATATTTATAATCTAATGATGTTGCATCCAATTTAAATAGAAAATGTTGCGTGACATTGTAAATGGTTTCTAACAAGCGTTGCTTCAATGTAGGTACAGCTTTAAATTTTATATTATACAGAACAGGATAATAAAATGAAACATGTTTCATGTTTTTAGCACTTGTGATTTGATAGATATTGGATAAATTTCGATTATTAAATTGAATAAAAAACTCTTGTACTTGGCAACACCGAACATGGTAAATTATATTTTCATAAATTTCAATCATTACAGCTTTATTTATTTTACTATTATAAAATAAAAAGTGCTTAATATTGAACTTTAAATAAAAAGAGAATGTACCTACCATTACTACACAAATGAAAAGTGGAAGTATCTCCGAATCAACCGCACTCCTCCAAGAATTCGATACAAATGTCTAGATAAGCGATAACAACATCCTCTGAAGGACGCTATTCAATAGAATTATTCATTTGCGTCTAAACAGTTGCATAGGAAAAATTCCAAATCTCTAAATCACAATTAAAAAGTAAATAAATAATTAAAAAAATAAATAAATAAAATTAAAAAAAAAAGAATATATATATATATA